AGGGAAATATTTGCGCTTAGGGATCCCCAATTTAAATTGAATCATGGGCTTTGAAAATTTTAAACGTTTGGGGTGTCACCATTAAACCCATGTTTTTTAAAAAACTAAAGGGTTTGGCTTTTAAAATTTAAATTTACAGAGATACCCACCCAAAAGGGGAATTGAGTTTTACTTACAATGGTTAAAAGGGTATTCTTTTCCTGATTGTAAAATTTTAATATCAAGTGTTGTTTACATATTTCATATTTTAAGTGATCAAAATTAGTACTTTTTAAAGCCGTTAAAAACTTAATTAACTCTTAAAATTCTAACATTCTCCAAAACAAATAAAGATGGCGTTATTATAAATGGTTGATTTAGCAATGCACATTGTCGATCTGTATTATTGGATTTTTTATAAATATATAAGTATACATTAGATTCCTTACTACTTGTATGAAGTGTAATGTCTTGGAAAAGCATTGCATCCGTCTGTATATTTTTCAAAAGGAGGGTCTTATTTTTTTTATTTGACTGACATTATTACCCAATCAATTTAGAAACAAGTTGATATACCAAAAAAATGTTTTGAAATGTGTCCGTTAAAAGCTGCTTGCTGACGTATCAGAACTTAAACATTTTTTATGCTACGCTGGTTTCAAGACCTTTCAGTATTTGATATCAGATTGTCATATATTTCGTAACGTATCATTTGAAAATTAGTACTTGAGTTTTAAAACATCATATTCAATTTGATAGAAATAATTCATTATTAAAATTGTATTTGTATTATAATTACAGTATTTTATGTTTGTACAGATGTATTTCCTTTATTATCTTGCATTATCTGAAAGCAATACACAATGAATGATATACTGCAAGCATCGATTTGAATTACGTAGTGATTACATTACAACGTTAGACATCGTCTCCTGAATATTTTATGTATTTTGCAATGGTCCTATATTTGATCTACGTGTATGAGCTGTTGCATGTTTCTGTTTTATATGTGTTACATACAATCTGGGCATTGCAAAAAGGTTTGATAGTAGTCTCTTGATTTAGGAACGGGCTTAACCAATGTAATAAGGCTGTATAATGCTTGCAAATTAAAAGCTTTATGAAGAATTTATTTGCGCTGTTTAATATTTGACACATTACTTTTTGTTGTTGTTGTTGTTGTGTTTTGTTTTGTTTTTTATTGTTGTTGTTGTTTTGTTGTTGAAGTTGTTGTTATTGTTGTTTTTTGTGTGATTTTTGTATTTTTTATTTACTTTTTTTATTTATTTATTTATTCAATTTTTTGTCTTCTTTTTTCCTTAGGTATTGAAGCACATATTTGCCTTAAGTTATATTTTTTCCCGAAAATCTATAAAAGTGATCTATTTCAAGGTCAAAATCTAATGTAATTGGCTAACATAATTTAGCAATTAGGTTTTATTAAAGATTCATTTACTTCCCAAAACGAGGGAGTGTATAACAAGATTTTACAATGCCACCAGGACTTCTTGTTAATTAATTTTTGAAGATAGGTTGGAAACTAATAAAATGATAACGAAAACTAACAGGATTGGCTTTTACTATCGCCTTGCTGTAAGGTCCTGCAATAAAGTACAATATTTGTTAAGATATTAAAGGCAAAACCAAAACTGATATGTAAGTTTAAACATATTTATTTCCCGAATATATACATATAAATATATACAATTATCGAATATAACAGTACAAACCCCAAAAATTTTTTTTTGCTAGTAGGGGGTTCCGTTCTGGGTTTATATTAAATGTTTTTTGGAAAACATTTAAAAATACACCAAAAACGGAGGGTTTGGGGTGTACCTCTCATGTATTTTTAAATTTTTGGGAAATTTTTAAAAAGGGAAAACCCATGTAAAAAATAGAAAAAGATTAAAATTGAAAAAAAACGCTAAAATAGCAGTTAAAATATATTCTCTTTAAATGAATCAATCTTACTTAAGGATATCTTAAAATTTTACATTGACTCTTCAATTTTTGCCAATGCGGTAAAATTGACAAAATTGCAGGCTCAGTTTGATAAGACCTATTCATGGACAATACCGGTAAATGCTACCGTAAATGAATCTGAAAAACCTCATGCAGAACGAACATCTATACAGCAAATTATCGTTTATATTAAATGATGTAGTAATGCGAATGCTTGACTTTATGCGAATGAAAATTTCTTCTAGAACAGCAATAATTTTGCAACATTTAATGGCAAAGTGTTGCTTGTTCAGGGAATGGTTGTTTGTCAAAGTTAATTCTATTTATCATGTCTCAGTGTCAACTTTGGTTTTTATCAACTATTAAAATCAAGAGTTTATTACCATTTATTTCTGCATCTTTTCTCTATCAAATCAACTTGTTTATTTTGTTGTATGAGAAGAAAATTTTGTTAATCTCGTTTACGGTAAAGAAATAAAGTATATTTCATTTATCAAATTTTGATAAATGAATAAAGATACAGAAATTGTTTTTTGACTCTGATATAAATTCATGACAAGAAAATTGTGTTAAATAGTTTCAAAAATAAAGTGCTTACAAAATACATATAAAGTAAGTTTTTTGGGGGGTTTTTTTTGTCTTTTTTTTATGTTTTTTTTTATGTTTTTTTTTTTTTTTTTTTTTTTTTTCAAACTAGGATCCTGTTTAATTTTGAATTCTTAATTAAACTGCTGTTTAATCATTTTTGTTTCCCTCTTGGCATAGACATCAATAAATTAGTTTACATCAGTTTATTACACGGGCATGCATGTCTGAGTTGATTCTTTTCACGTGCGTAGATTTGAGCTGCTCAAGCGTCTTCAGACTATTTCGTGTCAGAAAGCGATCCAGCTAGCTTACGTAATGTTGGCAGTTCTACTCAGGGTACCTGTTTGTGACTGAAGGTGCACCTGAGGTATTGACGTCCTCCGTGGTCGAGGGGTTAGAGTCGATGACTTCTAATCCAGTTACCTCTCTGGCGTGGGTTTCCCCGGGAGATGCTTTGGTAGTTTGGCGCGGAAGAAGGTAGTCTAGTACTGGTGTAACTCTCCAGGAACGATGGTTAGGAAACTACCCGTCAATATGACTGAAATACTGTTGGAAAAAGGCGTAACATGAAACAAACAAACAAAAACAAAACATGAGGTCTTACTCCACCAGTAAAGCTAGAAAGTTGCTGTTTGACCTACTAGTATACCATGTTGATTCGACGAAAAACCCAATAAAAGAGAAATAGATTCATGCATAAAAAGACTGTGTCACAAATACTTGTTTACCATTCATCCACAATTGACCTGTCATCATATTCCCATAAACGAAAAACCGTCGTTAAAAATACATTCAAAGCATCTTGATAAACAAAATCGTGTATTTCATTTGCATGTCATTGAGTTGGAAATATTCTAGACACTAGAAACTAGATACTGAATAATAGAATATCTATTAGATCAATGTGTGTATGTGATTGTAAGGGAGTCTGTTCATCTTCGAATTTCTTGATAGAATGTTACATGTTACAACCAACAAAATATTAAATAGATTTTTCAACATGTGAGTCACATTTGTTACAGATTTAGCTGCAGAATGGTAGAGAAGTAATGATTCTTAAGAATAGTGTCCACATTTGACTTCTTATTTCTTTTGGTGAGTTTGGGGTTGGGGTCGTTTTTCTTTTTTTTTTTTTCTTTTTTTTTTATTTGATAGCGCAATAATAGAATGGAGTCAATTATCACTAGGGTTACATACGTATAGAATTATATTAATATTCTAATGCATGATCTGCTTGTTTTCGTAGTTGTGATTAGTGCTTATTTGCCGGATTTGGCTCCCTATTTGTATAGTTTACAAGATTTTAAAATTTGTTTTACATTGTACATATATCTTGCAACCTTGTGTCTAAACACCAAGGAACATAGGCAGGCAATACACGTGTGTTATTGCTTGATTTAAAAGATATATATACTGCAACAAGAGAAATTTGAAAATAAAAAAGATTGTTATTGATAATAAACAATACATAATGAAAACATAATCATCAAAAAATTACCGATGTTCAGACAGTGATAATTAATGAATATGAGAAGAAGAGGTGGTATTGCGATTTTATCAAAACCCAGATAATTTGTATTATGTTCACGAAAAGGACCTTTCGGAGGCCATTTTCCTAATTGTTACATTGGTTGTTTACGTTTCAGCAATGTTTAAGCAATATTTTATACAAATAAGCCTTACCCCAAGCTTCACCATATTTTAATTCATATATTGCCGACTTGTCTGTTACATGTATAAATAGTAACCAAATAATGTATTAACTATTAACAACGTTTGTATGAAAGGGACACAAAATAACGACAGTAACTTTTATCTAAAACAATACCTGGGGGCTTTATCAACAAAGACTGAAAATTCGTAATTCGTTCGTGAAGTGATAAAAAATCCCCCACAAAAAATCTTGATATTTCCAGAGCAGAGACGATATTCCCAACAGGGAATAGTGCTGTACTATTGTTTTCAAATAACGTGTCCTGGTATTTTTCCCATAACTCTAACAATGTGGGAGAAAAGATTTTGATACCGAACATTTTCTTTTTTTATTTATACTTCAAATAACCCTACCATGTAAAGATTTTGATATAACATATTTCTTAATATTTTTCACACAACCTTACCAAAGTAACAGTAAATTATGGGATATATTTTTCCAGATAACCATTCCAATGTTACAGTTATTATTTGGATTAAGAACATGTTTACTTGTTTTACTTTTCAGACAACCATACCAGTTTGACTGCAGAACCTTTTATATTGTATTTTTGTATTTTGTAAAATGACCCTACCAATATGATAGTAAAAACTTGATTCAGAACATGTTGACCTGTTTGTTTTTGTTTAAATATTTTTTTCCAGATAATCCTGCCAGTTTGACAGTTACTAGTAATATTTTATACAACATGTTTTCTTATATTTCTTACCAGATAACCTTAGCAAGATTTTTATTCATGTTTCCTTGTATTTTCCAGATAACCCTACCAATGTGACCGTAAAGATTTTGATACAAAACATTTACTCTGTCAGCGAATCATCAATGGTATGTTTTATTATATCAATAAAGTATGTTTAATAGTTTTAGTTCCAGGGCATCAGTTGTTAAGGCCGTTGACTTCAAACCACTTGCCGATCACCACTGTGAGTTCGAATCAGACAGGGACATTGGATTCTTCCATGAGGAAGCTTTCCAGCTAGCTTACGGAATGTCGGTGGTTCTATTCAGGTTTCCGTTCGTGCCTGAAATAATGCACGAGATAGCATCTGTCTGCGGTCATCCTCTACCAGTTAAACTGGAAAGTCGATATGTCGCTATATGACCTATACTCTGTTGGCGCGACTTTCTCCCCCACCCCCCTCCCCAACAGTAGAAAATATATAATAAGCAGGTCCCAAAACATACAAATGAACAATTCAATTGTTAAAAGCTCTTTACGTGGATATATGTAACTCTAAAATGTGATTTTTGTTCTTTTATAAAACTTAGTCCTTTAAAGCACAAACTTTTCCGAAAGATTGGTAACTTGCCAAAAGATTTGAAATTTAATTTTGCATCAAATGTATTGTTATGTTTCCATCCTTTACTATAAACTGTTCAAAACATTCAGCAATATTTTCAGGATTTCTCCCTTGACATTTTCTTGCGGCAAAAATGGGAAGATAATCGACTTAAATACGACAACATGACTGACTTGGAATGGTTAGAAATGGATAATAAAATGATGGATAAAGTCTGGGTATGGCGTTATTAAATTTATTTCTGATCTTAACTAAAATTAAACTTAGAATTTTCTGGAGTACCATCTGTTTTATAGCATATTGACTTTTTTATTATTGATATAAAATGAGAAGTCTCAATGTAGAATAACAATTTCAATGCAGTGATTGTAGGTTCAGCGGCTATGGCCTATTTTGAATAAACACATTCAGTTTCATCAACTTTCAAAATCAAAAACTTGTCGTTCATAGGTTTTTTTTTCAAATTTATCCTTCTTAAACATGCTTTATGCATACATGACATAATGTTCAAAAGACCATAAAGGGTATATAAATAAGTCATCAAATATTCAAATTTTGTCATGATTTGAATCATGTTTTTTTATAGAAATACATTTAAAATTCTCACGCTTTTATGTCATATGGTTTTCCAGGTGGTTTATATACAAGGACTAAGCAAGTTTATTTAGAAACATGCATGTAAAACGAATATTCAATTTTAGACACACTTTTATTTCAGGTCCCAGATACATATTTTTCTAACGAGAAAAAAGCAAGCGTTCATGACGTCACCGTTCCAAACCGGATGATGCATATATACAAAAATGGAACAGTTCTGTACAGCTCAAGGTGACTATCTTAATATAAAATTTAAATGTAATTTTAACAAAACGAAAAAGCGGCAATGTTTTTTTAAATATCTTAATATGCTTTCCTTGTTTCTTTCACTAGTACTTATATTATTGAAGTATTATCATGCGAAATAAGGCATTGTAAGAATTAAAGGATATTTAGTCAATTACTTCCCGAAGATTGCCAACTTTCATGGAAATGTTAACATGGTTAAAATGAGAACAAGGATCAAGATCAAAATAGACGGCATTCAATAAACGCAGTCCCAACAAACTCGACAACACTGGCCTACCTCATACGAACCCAGCAAAGCACCGAACAAAATGTTAATGCGGAGGATGGCATAAAGACAATGCAAGGTCAAAACATTGTAATAGTCATCAATCAAATTAAGGAAAACGTAGGAAACTCAAGAAAAATTGTTGACCATATGCCATTCTTCCTCAAGTAGCACGAATGTGTCACATTTTAGGATCCTTGATGACCACTGCTTCTATGAATATATTTAAATTCGAGAACCCACCATTTCATATTCAAAATTTAATGTTGAATCTTTAAGCCGAGGTATGACCGGTGCCTTTCATGCCCGAGGAACATTTTCAAGTTTGCTGTAAGGTTTCAATGTTGTCTATTTATATCTACCTTATCGAAATACAGATCAAATGGTTTCGATAATGTAACAATGTAACTTCAAATAGAAAAAATAGCGAAAAATGTAATTATTCACTTTAATGAGCTTTTTTTTAAAATAATATATCGGTTAAATTTTCTGACAAATGATGACATTAGCTCTAAAAGCAATTAGCAAACTTCATAATAAATTTAAGCTTAATTAATTTGATGATGACAAATTAAAACTTCATGCATTATCTGAAGTAGAATCTTCTTATTTTATATTCACGTGGGAAAGATATAATTAAGTGGTGTTTATTGACGCATCCTATGAAATAAAAAAGTAAATGTTTACACGTACAATAATTGTAAATATTAAGTTTAAAAGCATCATATTGATTTTAGTTGTTGATGTCAACAGAAATGTCGGTTTAAATGTTTTTTTGATAAATTCTAAAACAAAACAAAAACTAAGTCTTAATACAATGGTGCGATAAAATTGTACCTTAATGTAAATTCATTCAAAGCACACAAGAATTTTGTAATAGTTTATTTTTATTTTCTTAAATAAGAATCATCTTTTTATTCAAATAATTATCCATACCACATTTTACATCCAACACAGTCGCTGAGGGTTTTTTTAAATGACTGAGCAGCTTTTTTAATTAAATTTGAAAAATGTAAAACTTTCTAAAGGTGGCGTTGCACCAGGTTGAATGAATATAAGTTTGGTTTCGGTTCTTTTATGCCTATTTGAACCTCAGACGGTCATTTCTTTCCTTTTACAGATTGTCTTTGACACTAAGTTGCAATATGAAACTGCAAAAATACCCTCTGGACGAACAGATTTGTCCTATTGTTGTCGAAAGCTGTGAGTATACTCTCTAAATTATTCCTGTTGTTTGTTTGTTGTTATATTTTTGTTAATGTTGATTTTAGTTTTTGTGTTGTTCGTTTTGTTTATTTCTTTTAATTGTTGATGGTTTTCGTTGTTGTTTTTATTGTTTTTGCTGTTGTTATTCTTATTGTTGTTGTTGTTTCGTTTTTGGGTTTTTGTTGTTGTTGTTGTTGCTGTGTTAGTTTTTTCGGGTTTGTTAACGCCGACATTAACACAGCTATTGGTTGTATCAACCTATATTAATATCCAGTAATTATCAAAATCTCCGCAAGTAACCGACTAGTGGACTGAATAACCGATGAGAGACAAATGACCATAGACTGATAATCCAAAATAATTTGTCATGGCAAAATTACGCCTCGCCCGGGATCGAACCACATACCGCTGGAATACTAATTAGATGCTAATCACAATTTGTTTCAACTTTTGTGCTTTCGTATATTCATTAATGTTTAAAACAGAGAAAAACTAAACGTTTTTTATGTGCGTTTTTAAAATGATTGATGTTATGCTAGGTTTTTATTACGTAAATGCGAATCAGTCTTTTTTCATATACATTGTATTTTACATTCACCTATATCGCATATTTGTTCAAATAGAAACGAAATTCGTCTGTCATGCTTTGCACTGAATATTATTGTACTTTGTAGTTTGATTAGCGACATGCATTTTGTTCTTCACAAAACATTCCGCATGATAAATCCTCGGGTGAATTATTAAATGATTCTCTTTTTGTTATTACTGTAAAAAAAGTCAAATTCGTGAATTAAGATAATTCAGTTTGAATTATGCAATTAAGAGGAAAATCATAAAACAATTTAGAGATAACAGAACAGTCACCCTCTTCTTCAAAGCATACAGCTAATGTATGACGTGCGTGTTTCCATTCTGACAAACAAAAGATAACGCAACATTGAATTCTAAGAAGATTTGAAAAGTCATAGATTGTGTTTCAACTTCAGTAGACATAAACTTAATTTAAACTACAAGTCAAACATCCATTTTCTGGCAAAATTGTCTACAAACACTCGATCATTCTGTCTCATTTTGTAAGCTAGATCATAGCCTTTGTGATGAAGGAGAACTTGTATAGATGAAGTTGTCTAAGATTCCGGTAGATAAAAAAAAATACACGAAACAAACTTTGTGACATGATTGAATGATCATAAAAAAATATTTTACTCACACAAATGACGGTTAAAATGAAACAATTTAACAACCATAATTAGGGATTTGTTTGGGTTTTAGGTGATAATGCAATTGTTTATTTACCATTTTAGAAACAATATTCTGATACTCTTTGAAGCATACATGTTAATAGCTTTTCTTAAGATAACATTTTAAATACTCGGATAAACTTTCGCTAAGAAATCTGTATCAGTCGCTTATAATAGTATTTGCGACGAAAGCCACAAGTGTCGATTAACATTCGTTAATCCTTATGGCAAAAGTGTTTTTGAAATTGTTGAAGATGTATGACGCTGTATAATAGCTGTGTATGGTTGGTAGATCATTGTTTATATTTGTTTGGAACTGTTACAGAATACCTAGAATGGAAGCAATTTGTTGTTACATTTTAAATTATTGAATATGAATGGGACATGCGTAATGTCATCGCCAAACCTACTTAAAACAACAATGTATATTAAATAACATAGACATTTATGTTGCAAATCTTTCAGGAAACGACTATAAGGTTAGGAAAAGAACATAAATTTACTGTTGTTTTTATTTTTAATTTCTTTAAATTATTTAATCAGATATAACTTTAAACACTGTAATTTCTAACGAATTGCTTTATACTGTTTTGAAGTTTGGTATTAGAGACTAAGTGGAGTCTAGTCATTTCCAATAGCAGTATTTTTTTTAATTCTTTAATTCTTTTTTTATAATGAATTAAGAGCATATTAGATATTAAACAACTGAAGCAGTAGTAGTTATGTTTTCTAAAGGTAGCAAAATGTAAAACAAAGTAGTATTTTGACTTTCTTACAAAATTCTAATTCACTATAATTTTGTTATTGCAAACATAACAAGTTATGCAGAAAAAAAATCGGAGGCATAATGGGATTTTAAGTGCTAAAATGTTACCATTTTTTAATTTTACTTGTTTTTATAACATACTTTCGGATAATATCGACTTTGTTATCGACAGCTCGGATGAACTGATGAAGTGCACATTATCTTATATTGCTCGGATATCTTCAGTCCAGAAAATTAGGTGGATTGATAAGGTTTGCCGTAAAATAAAACATATCAAGGTATTAAAAGTGCACGCTTAAAGAATGATGCCATTTGAGGATAATTTTAATTGAATAATTTACAAGACCTTAAGTTAAATTGAAAGTTGGCAATTTATGCGAAAACATAAAAATGCAAAAACATTTTTTGACGAAATTTAGCCATAAACAAACAACACAAAATTCAATGACGCCCACAGAGTGAAAATAACATTTTATGCGTTGTTTTTTATTTTTGCGATGAAAGATATGATTTTGTTTGTACTAGATTATCGATACAATATAAAGTAACTGATTCGAAGTAATATTTATTAGTCCAATTAAGTTGCAAACGATATGTTCAAAGGTTTTATTACGAATGCATTGTAAGCTTTTTGAAGATTTATCGCCTTTATAACTGAAAAATGAAAAATGAACCTAAAGCGGGTTCGGCTGATCTCTGCCATTTCGCATCTTCGTGTCTTACGCACCTCAAAAGTCGAAGGCGGAGACATGATAATATGATCACTTATTGAGCCATCACCCTCAACATTTAAGTGTATCGACACGAAGACACGATACATTTTAGGAAAAATAACGATATTTTAATAGGCGATGTAATGATATCTTCTGTAGAATTATTGTGTCGATGGGTAAAAGTCTTCGTATCGGGGCCCTATATGTGTCATTGTACAACATAAATTAAAGGTGTGATGTACAATTTACAAAGCAATACAACACTTGTATCTATTTTATTTGAATCATCATGTTTCCTCCCAAAGCGTTTCCCACCATACAGATTCCTCGCAATATTTCTACAGTATTATTACTGTGAATGCTGTCATTATTAAAGAGACTGTTTATGAGGTAGGTATAAGTTTCGGCGTAGATAACTTGGAGGGAGCATATAGAAAATTACAAGTGGAATAATTGAGCAACCTAAGCCTGTTCTATGTGAAGGTATTAAGGTGATTATATTCATTAATTAATGGGAATGATTCCAGCAAGGAAATTCCTATATTGGGATTCGGACAAATCCGACTACCTTATGTTTTTAACATCATCTTTACTCCACCTTACGACTATGTTTTCATTTTAGCCTTAATTGTTCTGAAATTTCATTCATTACTCACATAATAAGGTTACAAAACAGAGCATGTTCTAACCTGTAAATTTACGAATTCAAGAAATAGTAGCATTCACACATTAAGATTTGCTTGTACATCTAAGATTTAGTTGGTGTTGTACTTCTAAATCCTACCGTCTGTTAAGGCCTTTCCCAACTTTACAGATGTTTTCTTACGATATAGCCCTTCTTTCTGACACGTTTATCGAATTATAAGTAATAGGTAGAGCATCGAAACACGAGGCCATCTGATTTGTACGAGGGGGCGTAGGCCCCGAGTATTAATCAGATTGCCGAGTATTTTGATGTTCTTTCTCTTTTGTATCATAGTCAAACATAAAACACGTTCCCTGTTGTAATAATATGAAACCCCGGGAAAAAAGTAACCAATGAACGAGCATCTAAATTTGATATTTCTGTCTCTTTCTCTTTCTCTGCCGTCACAATAAGTAAACCCAAGCAACAATGAGCCAATCAATGGGCATGCTCAGGAGTGCGGGTAACTAATACCTGCACTCCAGTTAACGCACTGTGCATGTATATGTATACGATTTAACTCTGACACATTTTCAACAGAAAGGTCCCCGAACTATGATACAAGAATGTAATTATACATGCAACCAATTTTCATATTCATTGTTTTGAGCGAATTATGACACGTGTCAACGATACAAAGTAATTGATTCTATAAATAGTTACAAGGTAAAAAGGGTTTAAATCGATAAAATAAACCTAATAAAGATTTTAACCTAATTTATTCAAATTGCCCGCGAGTTTGAGTTACACGTATATTTAAGTGAGGATTTACATCTACTAAGATAATAGGTGTTTGACATAAGTGTCAGTTTCGTAATAGAAAGAGCATCGAAACACGAGGCTATCTGATTTGTTCGAGGGGGCGTAGCCCCCCGAGTATTAATCAGATTGCCGAGTGTTTTGATGTTCTTTCTCTTTTTTATCATAGTCAAACATAAAACACGTTCCCTGATACCACAATATGAAACCCCACAAAAAAGTAACCAATGAACGAGCATCTGAATATGATATTTCCATCGCTATCCCTTTCTCTGTCGTCACAATATGTAAACCCCGGACAAAATGAACCAATCAACGGGCATGCTCTGGAGTGCGGGTAACTAATACCTGCACTCCAGTTAACGCACTGTGCATGTGTATGTATACGATTTTACTCTGTCACATTTTCAACAGAAAGGTCCCCAAACTTTGATACAATTTTTTTATATACTTTTACTCGGGATCATTTTAATCATCGTTATTATTATTGAAACCATCTGCTGTTTACCGATTATAAGTTTTTCTGTATATTATATTAAAATAAAGGGTTCGATTTCCATTTTTAATAAAGGGTTCGATTTCCATTTTTAATATTTTTTATTTTCTCAAAAGTTGGGGTCATTTTAATCATCATCATAATCATTAAAAGCTCGACATGCAATTATACTAATCACCAGTTATTATAAGTATATTATATAATTATCATAAAATTGTTATTAATTATTATTCTGTTCAAGATGCATACACTAAAGAAAATGTTGTATATCATTGGGATAATGAATCATCTGTGAAGATACCACAGCTAGAGGACGTCGAGATGCCACAGTTCCAAGCTTTTGTTGATGAACTTAACTCGGTTGAAGGTTGTGATGGAGTTCATGCTGAAAGTATTCAAGTTTTCTATATTTTGTGGTAAAGCACTAAATGTTTAAGTCTGAGCAAAATATATATCTTAACTATTAGAGGTTTAAGAAATACATGTTTACGGCATTATCCTAGTAATTGTGGTATTTTATAGGCGTACTATGCCTCAGAAATATTTCTTTTTCTTTGAAAGCGGCAAAAAATCGTTTAGCAATGTTTAAATAATGGATTTAAAACATATGGGATGCTTATAACCTGTGGATCGTGTTTCTGAAAGTGAAATGTTTTGTCATATAGGTAGCAAAAAGTAAACAAGTGGTATTTTAATTTGCATCACTATACTAAAGGTATTTTCCTGTTCGGAAATTGTTACTGGACACCAAATTGAGCTTAATGGGTCTTCAAATTTGTTGGATTTAAATAGAAAATATAATAACAAATATAAAGAGATATATAAGTTATTCAGCCGTCATATTTGTTTCAATTTAGCCAATTATAGTTAAAATTGTATTTTGAAAATGAGAAAATATTGAGAGCTCGGTTTGGTCTAATCAGTTCAAAAGACTTAATTGCTCTTTTAACAACAAAGATTTTCATACTTTGCAAGTGACATTTTGAAGTTGATTTCTAAGTTTCATAAGTTATGCTTTTTGTTACATGGGGCGAATTTGCGTGTCTTCAAGCTAAAATACGGCTCAACAGAAAAGTAGGGTACTACATTGTTCAAGTGTTTGTGCCCAGTGTTCTTATAGTTGTGCTGTCATGGGTGTCGTTTTGGATGGACCATGATGCTGTTCCAGCAAGGGTTTCCCTCGGTGTGCTCACTGTTTTAACAATGACGACACAAAGTTCAGGGGCAAAACAATCTCTTCCACAAGTGTCATATGTCAAGGTAACTTCTTTTATTTGATCAATGCTTTTATAAAACTTGCTTTTGTAAAATAGGCTAAATAAGACCGACATGACTTCGGTACTTCTCCTGTAGTTTAAATTTTGAAAACATTCGGTTATTCTAGGATTTGATACGTAATATGTCAACAATTCATATACTTTGGGCCTCTCATGCCCAATGTTTGAATTTATAATATCACTTTTACTACCAGTAGACTATGCATAATTGAAAGTAAGACGACATAAAGGGTAAAGGCTAAGGATAGTTTGACGAATAGTTAGTACTCTTTTTGGGGTTTTATTATTCGTTATTGAACTATTTATTGACAAGACGTTGGAAACAAGTCATAAATGTCAGCATGTGCGTTTAATGATTTATTCAGGAACAGTTGAATGTCAATTTACCACAGGAATATCATCCTGCTCGATTAACTGCTGATGAAAGCATAAAGTATGCATAAAAATGTTTTGAAGAGTCTTTGCTATCAAAATCAAATATCAGTTTTGTCCTCGAAGTGAAAAGGCATCTTGTAATTGGAGGATCCCTCGGATCAATGACAGCAACAAAATAATATGAAAATGGCAGACTCAGTTTGATTGAGACTGTTCTTAGTATTTTTGTCTTGTTGTATTTCTTTTTTGTCTTTGCTTTTTGTACGAATATTTCGATTAATTTGCAAAGTGTAGTTATCTTTGAGAATCAGTGGGTAATTCGTATTGATTTTTTGCAACATAATATCATTATTTTTGCTCTTTCATTTTCCAGGCAATAGACGTTTGGATGTTTACGTGCCTGCTTTTTGTTTTTATGGCACTAGTAGAATATTCTTACGTTAATGTGGTTTCGAGAAAAAAGACCAAAGCTTTATTACAACAACGACAACAAGCAGAATTACTGCCAGTAAGTATTGAGACATTAAATTCCATTATTCCCCTAATGATAATATAACATTAGTGCCGTTGATAATGTATTTTACTTACAATTTTCAAGGTTTGACATTTTCAGAGAGCTTCAATGTTAATGTGACTCATTAATCTTTTTTGTTTCAGGGTATTTCATGACATACAGACTTGTTTTTGAATCACAAGAAATCATTTACATAAAACAATTTCTCCAAATATGTACATCAAAAACGTTAATTTAATGTAAATACTTTAAAACTGAAAAAGGAAAAACAATTAAAAATATAGAACTGTAGACGATGTTATCTTGAACACCTGTATCTGATCATTTAACCATATATAACATACATTAACTATTTTTCCAAAAAACAAATGATAAGTAAAATTTTATAATTTCAGTTGACTCAAGATCCAAATAAAGAGGTAAGATTTTGTCGTAAAGTTATGATTTTAATCATGCAAATATTTCAGTTCTATCGTTTGCAAAATAATACTTATAAAATTTTGGTTATATTTTCTAACCGATTTTATCTCGTTTCGGCCATAGCTTTTCAAAAATTCGGCGCTACTTTTGCATGATTTCTGCGTTATTTTCACATTCCTGCGTTACTGGATACACACGGCGAGGTTGGAGACAAAAACTTGCAAGACTTGGAGAAAGCCATATTGGTTGTGAGCAGGCGACAAAATTGAAATATTTTCATGTTTTCTAGAAAAAAAACACATCCACGAAAAGTTAATAAGATTGTGGCCATATGTACAAATTTCTAAGCCACAGATATGAATAAAAATGTTTTTATTTCAGGAAAATGGAATTTTACCGGTTCACAAGGTAACTGTACTGAAGTATGAATGCCATATTGCTGCACGAAGAGTGGACAAGATTTCAAGGGTTGTGTTTCCTTTATGTTTCTTAATATTCAATGCTATATTTTGGTCATATTATACATTTTTCTGAATACGAGCTCACATTTGTCTGGTACTGCTTTGCAGTCAACTCTTTACAGTACATTAGGCGACGACTAGACAACAAGTCACATTGATAATGTTTGTCTAAAAGCTAACGACGAAGGATCCTTTTTGTTGTAAGATATACAGTCATGTTGTCTTCAGTTAGAAGGCGTACATGAAAAACTTTGCATTTTGGATCAATATTTATATAGCAATTATGCAATCTGAACCATGACGGAAGCTCCGTGTGTCATTTGCCTCATGTTAAGTCCGAAACGGTGATGTGCAGGGGATGGCACATGAAAGACATTGACAGTTTTAAATTCATTGCTTTTACGTTGATGGGATCTACGAACCTTGACATTTGACTATTTTTTTAATGAAAACAAGGAGTCAATAGGAAGTGCTTAGATGAAACGATATGAAAACAGAACTGTTGTAAACAAACAGATTGACAGTTGTTTGTCGGAAAACAAAAATGATGAAGATTTAAGCTTTATGGATCAATTGATTAATGCTATCTTCACAATTGTTTTGGCAAAATTTGTCTTGAAAGACAAATCAGTAATCAGGAATAAAAGATTGCAATAGGTAAAGGTAATTCTAGAATTGCATGTAAATTGTTTACGATAATGCAAAACTTTTACCATTTTGTAGTTTATAGTTTTCATTCAAATATTGTGTTAAAGATTTGATTTATGTTGTTCGTGCCGTTCTTTCCACGATTGAGCAATAAATCAGAAGTGTAAGTGCAACAAACAGTTTATAATTGGTTTTAACATTTAAACTATTAACCCATATTCCTGTACACATAGAACATCGTCTGAATTAACACTCACCTCTTCACATTCGACTCATTCGACTGTCTTTGAACTTGTTGAGTCCAGACCTAAAATGCTTAAGGACCTCTCGATTTTAGTTATGTCTTACTGAGTGATGATCATCTTACGCATATGAATATATATGAAATAATCAATATGATTAACAGAACAAACTCTTTACATATTACATTATATATTGATCATTCAATCATTAAATGTATGCATATGATTTTAATCTAAAATCCAGATTTCAATGCATGTACCTTTTGCCTTCAAACGAAATGTTATTGAATTTTTTACGATTGTTTGAAAGTTAACTGACGAAATTTGCATTGTTGACACTTAATATTGCAAATTAATTTTGCTCAGCACCTGGAATTTAAATTTGACCAACACTACTGTATCTTTTATACATGATTTTGCTTTTATGTCTTGCTCAAGTATTTTATTATATAAGTATAAAACTCAACATTAAAACAAAACGCAGAACTAATTTGCTATCATTGTTATGTTATTCCGTTTTCGTGCATTTTTGTTATTTTTATATACATGACTGGTTGCCAATATTAGAACATTATCAGGTCTTTTCCAGTCATTCAGTATGAAAATTATAATCTTAGAATATACTATTTTTTAATGACCAGAAATAACAATATTTTTATTTGATAATATTGTTATCGATGCAGAAATATAAATAAATGATAAATTTCAGTAAAGATAATAATAAAAACTTAGACCTGCTTTTACTTTCATTTCTCAACAGCATTTTAATTTTGGTGTACATCAAAGTATCCAAAGATTTACTCAATGGCCAGTTTTAATCTTTTTAAATATGTTGCTTTTTATCATTATCATTTAGTACACTTATAGGGAATTAGTATATGTATGAAAGTCAAAATACTACTTTGTGTACATTTGCTACTTTATTGAGAATTGATTTCACATTTATTGCTACTTACTTCATGTAACAAGCATTCTTTAAAACCATTATTGAAACATAAAATTCATGTTTGCCTTTTCTGAAAAAGTTAATAAATATTTGTTTCTGAGGCATGAAAATATTGCTTTGGCTTAAATAAGTGTAATTTTGCTATGAACCGATCATATGCTGATCACTTGAAATCAATAACAGTTATTAATATCTTAACATTTTTTTCAGATTTCCAGTTTCATATTTTTCTAATTCAATTGATTTTCCTAACATTTCATTAAATGTTATTAATTGAATAAAATGTTATATGATATGTAGTGCTATAAATAGAGTATCAGATGTCGAAACAGAACTACTTTGTAATCGCATAATTATGAGTTTTTGGGTTAATCAGTATTTATTTGCTTGCTTGAATTGAGCGGGTCGAGGGAAATTCCCTGAATTACTGTCGTGTGTCAGTGATTCACTTCAAGATGTAAATAATTGTTGCTTAGAATATACAGAAAGATTATATTGACATTTACTTTGAATGTATTATCATTGTTAATATTTTTCAACTGGAAAGATGTTTTCGTTATTTTGAATTTGTTATTATTGCCAAAAAATGTTAATATTTTATTACTCTCTATTCACCGTCTTGTTATGACTTATTATTGTTATTTATATAGTTATTTAACATTACCGTTATTTAAATAGTTATTTAACTGCCTAAAATGTTGACTGAGAATATTTGACTGTTTAAACAATTTCAGAATACGAAAAAATCAGCATTGATCTATATTTGGTATTTTAATTGTGCTTGAAGAAATCGAAAGGTCTTTAAAAGGAAATGTTCATATCTAGCACATAGTTTAAAATCGTAATGTTATATGATAATACAATACATACACTCTAATGTTTTTATAAAATGTTTGTTCGATTAAATTGAAATTATTTCTTACAGATTGAATCAAGTTTATTTGTTTTGCAATGAAATTCAAAATCTTTCCAAATCAATGGTACAATGCATATTGGAAATGTAATACAAATGTATTTGTTATGACCTTTGTTTTGGCTAGTATTTGCCATACTATTTCATTAATAACTGTGTAAATGTAAATTTTACAATAAGTGTGTTATTGTATGAATGTTCCAATCATAGCTGACTGATAACTTGAGACATTCTGTTGAATGTGCAAACAATGCAATTGATAAAAAAATGTTTATTTGTTTGTTTTTATATTATGTCATTTTATTTCAAGCGGAAATGATTAATTTCGTGTATTTTTTATTTCACGCACCTTACACATAATATTACTTTTTATTGAAAAATAAAATTTATTACTTGTTAAAAGGACCTGTGTGTTTGTTGTGTTTTGCTATTATGGTTTTAAGCAGTATGTTTTGACATACTGACTGAAACCAAGACATATAATTTCATCTATTTAATTTTGACAAAGCTGGAAGTAATATAAAGCTTGGGATGCCGTATTACTCTTTATACCAAAAATAGATCATTTAAAACCTTATAAGCTACCGTTCCATGCCCCTTAGCACATGTTTAAGCATACGAGGCAATATGTAGCATACGGTTTAGATAACACATTGTGTTCAATATATTTAACATATTTTCTGCACCTATATTTTCTCTTGGAGTCTTATGATAACGAATAATACAGATGTGCAAATTGTGACTTGGGGATATTTGACAAGATGATAATTATATGCATGGCAAGATATCAGTTTTAGTTTTCATCCAAGATTGATACATTTACGATATGGACAGAAAATGATAGGATTTGTGTCAAATGTAATACGCTTCAGCAAAGATTACGCTGTATCTCACATATGTCTGATACAATTTATCTATATGGAGCATGGTTAGGTCTAATACTGATACAAAAGAAGAAGCTTGTCGTTTTGATCGAGTGGTAAATGTTTTCAACTTCAAACCACTTGACCATCACAACTGTCGGTTAAAATTCCACCAGAAACTCGAAAAAAGCTATCCAGCTAGCATATGGATCGTCCGTTTTTCTATTTAGGTTCCCGTTCGTGCCTGAAATAATGCACACGAAGAGGGTCTCCCTGAAACAGTTAAGCTGGCAAAAAAGCCATGTGATATTTACAGTGTCTGTATGACCGAGCCAAAACAAAAGTTTTGCGAGTTATATTATTTACAAACATGGAAATGCTTTTTCAAGAAAAAACTACTATAGCATCTTGAATATATAGACATTTTACCAATACATACAAGGCAGCTTTGTTCAAGTATATGATATCATATTTTCCAAGTTAAAGGCATATTATGTTTCAGTAACAAATAAATTTCTACTTCTATAAAAAGTGCAAACATGAACTTTATCACGTTTAAATAATGGTTAAAAGAGTATGTTGGATGATTATTACCCATGAAAGTAGCGCCGTTGAATGTGAAATATTTTGTCAAACAAGTAGCAAGTTGTAAATAAAGCAGTATTTCCAATCAAAATACTAAATCACTATAACTGTACTAATTGCCACACTGAAACAGGTGAAAAAGAAGGTTTTGGTAATTTGCCAACGAATAACTTTTTTAGAAACAATAAAATGTCATCAAAAATAAAATGCTTTTGAAAAATGAAAACAGAAGCATTTCTAAAGCAAATCTAGACCTTTAATTACTTACCCATCTGAGATGGACATTCATTTTCATCAAGTTTGTTCTTACTTTTATAGAATTATCTTCAAAAATAAGAAAATACAAAACAACTATTTCCATAAGTAGAAATTTGTTTAATTAGAAACGTTCTCGGTTCCCTACAAGAAGACTTCAATATGGTACTTTTTATTTACGTCAAAATCTGATAATGAGAAGAGTTTGCAAGTAAAGTGGTTCGGAAAGGATATAAAATGTTACATTTCTTAAATCTTAACCATAACGGCTGAGTAGAAAAGTAACACACGTGTATTAACTTTCCTGCAATACATTGTTTAGTAGAAAGTTTGTAAGTTTATAGAATGAAGGTGAATCAGATATTCGACGATTATTTAATGACTAAAATTACCTAATAGCCCATATTTCTTTTCCTCAGAGTGGCTTTGGAATCCCTAAACTTTCTTCCTGCAATGGTTTTATACCATGAATAATAAGCTGCACAAAAGTCAAAGGAAAGTCAAAAGGAAATTTGTTCTGGGTTAGAACAAAATTTGTTCACTCGCTTAATGAAATTGCTAAAATCATTTAGAAAAAAAGGAATAACATTTTTACATTGGCTCCTGTACGTATATTTTGAGATGCCCTTGTTTTGTCATAATATTTCCTTAACTTTGATTTCCATGTTATTAAAACATTGCCCTTCCTTTTTGGCAGATTACAATATATATAGGTATCGACTTTAAGGGAAAATCGTTAACATAGAAATAATAGTAATTTGTTTTCTGAACATAAACTTGGATTTTTATGTTTAATATCCAAATTTTTTTTTTATGTTTCTAATTTTTCCTCACATCTAGAAATGCTGCCCTCGGAAATGACTGTTTATTAATGAATGATTCCATTAGCAACTTCTAAAACGTCCGTCTGATTTATTTAGCGTCAACAAAATACGTAATGTCCTGTCATGATAATGGTAATCTACCGGCGTATAATATAACGGTGATACTCTGTATCACATTAGCATTACAACTTGTTAATGTTCTCATAATGTCGTCTGCTGAGAATTGTCGTATGGAAAGGAAAATATCTAAAGATTTGTAGATTTAAACGTATTTTTTCAGAAATACTAACAACAACTACAAAAACACTTAAATAATAATTACAAGATTTTGAATCGCTATTGCGATTCATTTCAACCACATAGTACAATGATGTTGAGAATTTCAGAACTGGGTGAGATAATTACGATCCGAGGTCCTAGTCAAAGGTCATGTGTGTATCTCACAAGGCCAAATTAGCAATCTTTATCACTTGCATTATAAGAATAACTTTCCTGTATGGTTCATGCATAGAAACTATTGTTTTCCAGATGCCTAACTTAAAATTAATTACAGGGATAAACAGTGTCCAGTGTCCTGTGCCAATATGTTTCAGCTCAATATTTATTTGTAATTGTTGGTGACATAAAAGGAGAACTGCTAATTTGTTTCCATATACGTCATAAACGGTGTTGTATGATAATAGCTCGTGAAATAATATCATCTCGTGAGATATTTCTAAGCGGTGTTGTAACAATCACACGAGTTCAGTAATTCCATAATAATCAAACTAAAAGAATGATTTTTGGGCTGATTTACAAGATTTAATGGTATAGCTGAAATTATTCTAAGCTTTTTTTTGCATTCAATGGTTCCAAGTTTGTATGAATGTAAGTTAATAAAAGAATACGTAGTCATGTTAAAATCAAATTTGTTTTCAAGAGACATTTTAAATTTCACCACTCTACATATCCTAAATGGATTTGTCCAACTTTCAATCTAAACAAACCATTCATTAGTTTTAAGGGAAAATTTCAAAGTATGTACTGAATGAAAATCGAACAATGCAGACCATGATCAGATTGCGCGAATATACCGGCTAAAACTTTTGCTCTGCACTTGTCGTTTGTTCAGTAGCCACCAGCACGCGAAAGTTTAAAGTAGTGTAAGATTATACGATTTTATACGATGCTACATGTTTAATTACGAAACACATCTATCCTGGGATTGACTTTAATTTATCAATCAAGTTTTATTTGTATTTATTCTTCTAAGTTTTTTAAGATATCGATCCACTGCCTCACATTCGGCTTGTCTCCAAAGGGCTATCAATTAGTCGAATTTAAAAGTCATTTGCTCACGAAATAAGGCAATTACGTCAAAAGGATGTCCAAATTAACCACAAGACAGTCTGGCAACAAGATTACACAATGTTTCTAGTGTGCCTTTGTTTTTTTTTCTCAGCTGGAAACAATCAATTACTTAGCAAGTAAGAAAATTATTATACTAATTCATTTTACAAATTAAGATAGATAATTGGTTGTACATTGAAATATATAATAAGTATTGTATCGAAAAATGGAACTAAAATAAATTTGGCATTTTATCAGATGTATTGTGAGAAGACAAAATGCTAATGTTTATGTTTATGTCCCAGATTGTCTAATTAAATTCAAAAATTTTAAAACAGTTATTTCTGAGATTGTTTTTTATACATTATCAGAGCTTTTTGTTTTCAATAAAAAAATTCCCATAAATATGATTATTTGAAATATTTAAATGGATGTTTAGAAATATTTCAATATTAATTTGTCTCAGTGGAATTCCATTTGCTGATATTTTCTGTTATCTTTATGCATTTCTCCTCATTGTTCCGTATGATAACATGTTATAGACTGATCTACGGATAAAGCATGGTTTACTCCCGTAATTCACGTGATTTATGTCATCGATAACGAGCTAAAATAGCATTCTGCTAACGATTAGATTTTTCAATGTCTGTGTTATATGAGACAGATACATTCATATTTACCTTGCTGAGACGTTGATAAAGATGTTGCATTCGGTTTGCGGTGAAATTGAGCCAGAGTCATATTGCTCCTGCTTTTGTGTTGAATTTGCTAAGTTCAGCTCATTAAAACCCATATGATTCGTTCTTTTTTGATGTATTGTGTTTAAGGTGCAACTAAGTAAATGCAATATTGCCTTTGGCTTTGTGTTCGTTTTCAAAGTTGCAACATAAGAAGGCTATATTGCCTTTATTGTGCATTGAATATTGTTTAAATTGCAGCTTAGTGCATGTAAAAGCCATATTTTCCGACATGGATATGTCATTTTGTTGAAGGTGCAGATAAGTAAAGGTCATATTGCCCTTTCCTTTTGTTGCTGAAGCTGTGCAATTTGTTAAAGCCAAATTGAGCTCTTCTGTGCAATCAGAATATCCTTGGCTATTATCTATTATAACCTCGGAAAAAGTAGTTCTACCAACGTGTTTCAGATGTAAACAGAAAAAGAGTTTGCAATGTAAAACGAATATATATTAATTTGACATACTTAGGAAAAAGGTATGTTTCGGTACAATAATGATTGAAAATATGTCTGACAACACTTTTTTTATTTAAAAAGCCCACTGATGTACTATTTAAAACAAATCCGACTTAATGTCAACTGGTTTTCATTTTGTACTTTCGGTTTCTACAACCAAAATAATAAATATATAAACAATGTAAATCTGTAAATTCACTTATATAAGATGGACTTTTACTTGATAATTTGGCAGTAAACTTGTTAACAACTCCCAGCATTAAATTACTATTTGTTTCTTAGCATATGTAAGACCGAAATACCGTATCCGTTCTGTGTATTCATAACACAGATAAAACCAAACACAGATAA